GCATCAAGAGAAGTGCGGCCAGCAGGTCGAGGGAGGGGATAATTGTGCTCTACTCCACTCTCTGCAGTGCTGGGTCCAGCGCTGGAGTCCTCAGTAGAGGAAAGACATGGGCCTGTTGGAGTGGGTCCAGAGGAGGCCACGAAGATGATCAGAGGGCTGGAACCCCTCTCCTGTGAGGACAGGCTAGGGGAGTTGGATTTGTTCAGCCTGGAGAGGAGAAGGCTCTGGGGAGACCTTAGAGCGGCCTTTCAATACTTGAAGGGGCTTACAGGAAAGATGGGGACAGACCTTTTAACAAGGACTGTAGCGATAGGACAAGGGGTGATGGTTTTACCCCTAAAAGAAGGTAGATTCAGAGTAGATATAAAGAAGAAATTTTTTACAATGAGGGTAGTGAAGCACTGGCAGAGGTTGCCCATAGAGTTGGTAGATGCCCCATGCCTGGAAACATTCAAGGTCATGTTGGATGGGGCTCTGAACAACCTGATCTAGTTGAAGATGTCCCTGCTCGCTGCAGGGAGGTTGGACTAGATGACCTTTAACGGTGCCTTCCAAACCAACCCATTCTATATTTCTACTATGTACAAAATCCCACAAAAATTTCATCACAGCTCTTGGTGGTAACTGGACATACAACACTTTGACAATTTAAGGTCTTCATGGAAATGTATGAATGAGCATACCAAAACTCTATAGCCTGATCCAGAAAGGAATCTATATAATAAGCTTAAGGTTTTTAGAAATTTCATTAATTTCCCTGAAGACAGATGGTATTGGGAAAACATTACACTCTCAGCTGTGTGAATAATAAAATGCTATTCCATTTCTACTGCTATGAACAAGTATTTATGCCAAATTCACTTTAAGGTAATGAAAAATCTATGTAAAGTTTCTGCAAGAATTCCTGTTTAATATATTTATTGCACATAAAAGCAAAGGAATAGATGGAAAGCTTATCTCAAATGTTTAATCTAAAAGCTAATGGTTTTCAATAGTAGTTACTACTAATAGCTGTTAGGACAGTGTTTTTACTTAAAAATAATTTTCAATTTATATAGGTATATTATAAACGGATTATCAAGAGCTATTTCTGATCTTAATTTTTTTTCTCTCTCTTAGTAACAACTGTGCAGCCTGAAGTAACAAGAAGCTCTACCACAGGTACCCTACCAACAGGACCTAGTATTTCTTCTTCTGTAGCTACTGAGACTACAAACCCAACAATGACCTCAAAAATCACATTTCCAAGAACTCCACCAGCATCACCTCTTGTCACAGTAAAGTCAATAACTGGTAGGTTTTTTATGTTACTGTCTAAAATAAATTAGAGTAAATATTACTCTAAATATAACTCTGTAAATAGATTAGATATCACTCTACTAGGAAAGCATTGAATGCCATCTCAACATACAAGCACAGGACTCCATGAAGTAAGCAAAGCAGGCTTCCAGGAGGAGTCTGTAAATCAGGAATGTTCAGACGTAGATTGAAAGTGTGCGGAAAGAGAAAGCACATAGACACTAGCTTAAAAATACAACCAAAAATCACTTGTATGACTCATCTGAGAAGCACATTAGAAGTTCTGTAAGCAGTGAGCCAGCTCAGCTGCAGTTGGATTTATTAGCTCAGTTTCAGCCTTTTTTCCACAACAGGTTCAGTTATGCAGTAATATTCAAGGATCACCCAGCCTACTAACTCTGAATATTATAAGCAGGATCCAAAGCAGAATCACACAGGTCCCAGTGCAGCAGCTTTGTCTAGGATTCTAGAGTCCTGCTCTCAGGAGGTTGACTCCTCCAACATAAATAACTTTCTGATTCTGTGTATTGTGGACACTCATACTAACATGTTGCTTCCCACCAACATGCACTCAACTAATAAGCCATCCTGGAACCAGGCTATCAGGGAAAGCAGATTTAAAAAGAGGTCCTACAGGTGTCAAATCTCAGCTTCAAAGGCTGCCATTGTAACAGGTGGTTTGTGCACTGGGACAAGGAAAGTCTTATAGTATGATATTATTATCTTTTTAATACAAATTGTGGAAAGCTGAAACCGTGGCTGATAAGAATAGACAATGAAACTGTCATTCGGGTAAAGCTCATACAGGCTTTAGCCAACGAATGACAACAAAGATAACTTATTTAAAAAAGCATATAAAAATAATCTAATACAGGAAAAATACAGAAAATGAGAACAAAAATATGAGATAACAGAAAACAAATACGTAGAGAAAGATTTTGCAAGCGTATGAGAACATGAATGTAAAAAAATTTCACACAGAACAAGGATGAAAATTGGGTTTCTGGAATATGGGTAGCTTCTTCATAATTTATCTATTTTTAATTATTCAGTTGATTACTCACATTATATTATTTACCTTTACTCCAAAAGAACACACAACAACAACTTTTACCACACCAAATATGACTACAACCATCACTACTCCTTCCATAACTACCTCAACTAAAAGAACCATGACCACTACACCAAGGCCCACACCTGTTGTCTCATCAACCGCTGCTTCAACAGAGACGGAACAAGCAAGGTTCGCCACACCACCCTTCAAGACCACTATCAAAAAGGAAACAACCACTTCAACACCTACTGAAACCACATCTCAGATAACAGCTTTCAGCAAGCCTAAACTAACAACAGTAGGTAAATATCACTTTTTAATATCTGCCAGGGGAGGCACAAGACACATGTCAATGTGTTCCTTATTGAAAAAAACAGACATTCTTACTAGTTCTCTTAACATTGCGTATAGATAGGAAAGGACATGGATAACTGAAGAACTGTGAAAAAAATGGGAATTTATGTGTCTTGCCAATGGAGCAAGAATCTGACATCCAAATATCATCTTAAACCTAAGATCTCTCTTCAAGGCCATACTCTACACTTCCTCCAAATTTATGCAAAATCTCTCTATGCTTCAAAGCAAGTTCTTGAAAACTCACAGATGGCAGAATGTGTTCCTCCTAGACATTGTAACAAATTCTCCCAAAAATAAATATTAAAAATAGGACTTTGGGATGTCAGGTACTCCATATGCCAACAAGGACAGTCTCCTCTGAGGCTGTATGACAACATGAATTACTAGGTTAGCTCCGACAGCAGAGACTGGGACAGAAGTCTCATGTAGTGGGAGGTCAGGTGTACACTCTCTCCCAATCCATCGGTCTCCCACAAAGTACTGTTGGGGTGCACACAGCTGGGTCTTCTTGTGCCAGCAATTGCAGCTTCCTCTGAGGAAGTATCATAACCCACTTTAATTAGGAATCTTACCAGTTCCCAACCATTACTACCAGCCATTCTTCCTTACTTTACAGAGAGTGAGGGGACCCAAGCAACCACTCTGCACCACCTCCCAGTAGGTGAGTAAGAGGAAGCTGAGAGATGCCCTTGGCCTAAGACTCTGCTTCACTTACCCCATCTTTTCCAGATGATGTTCTTGCCCAGTCTGGAACACCTTGGAGGGCAGACATGCACATCCAGAGAGGCTCTTCTTCCCTCAGGGAGAGGCAGGAAGTGCTGAATTGTCGGAGGGCACCCATCAGGCCCAGTTCTTGACCCGTATTTGGGGGGGGGATCCACTGGCTCATTTCTCCCTCTTGCCCAGTAAGACTCAGTGTGGTCTGGTCCTGCCTTTCTTACCTCTACCCATAGCCTGGGCATTCTGCCTGGGAATTGCCCACCTCCTTTGCTTTCCCCTTTTGCCCTGCCACCCTTAATCAACCTTTGCTTTTTTCTCTGTAGTTGTCACCCACAGCAGACCAACAAAGCCACAGCATCTCATCACGCAGACCACCTCTGCCAGTGCTTCACTACCCTCATTGTAAAAAATTTCTTCTTTATATCTACTCTGAATCTACCTTCTTTTAGGGGTAAAACCATCACCCCTTGTCCTATCGCTACAGTCCTTGTTAAAAGGTCTGTCCCCATCTTTTCCAGATGATGTTCTTGCCCAGTCTGGAACACCTTGGAGGGCAGACATGCACATCCAGAGAGGCTCTTCTTCCCTCAGGGAGAGGCAGGAAGTGCTGAATTGTCGGAGGGCACCCATCAGGCCCAGTTCTTGACCCGTATTTGGGGGGGGGATCCACTGGCTCATTTCTCCCTCTTGCCCAGTAAGACTCAGTGTGGTCTGGTCCTGCCTTTCTTACCTCTACCCATAGCCTGGGCATTCTGCCTGGGAATTGCCCACCTCCTTTGCTTTCCCCTTTTGCCCTGCCACCCTTAATCAACCTTTGCTTTTTTCTCTGTAGTTGTCACCCACAGCAGACCAACAAAGCCACAGCATCTCATCACGCAGACCACCTCTGCCACATCTGCCAGCAGCACTTCTCTCCCAAGAGAGGCCAGCCCTGCCAGCAGCCCAGAAGTCCCACTGACAAGGATATCTCCAAGCCCCAGCTCTTTACCTGCTACCTCAGCCTCATCTGTGTCCTCAACATGGTTGAAACCATCACATCCTGGTAAGGCTCCCTCCAGCCCTTCCTGCTGCTCTGCTTGCTCCTTCCAGCTTCCAACATTCTCTCCTAAACCGTACGTCTCACAGGCTTCAGCTTTAGTATTCATTCTCAATTCCCACTGCTTTTGGCATGGAACTCCTGAGAGCCAGGCAGTGTGGGACTGGCCTACATATGACCCTGACTGCAACCTCCTCCCTTGCCACTTCGGGAGTTAGGCTCTAGGACACAGGCCTTTAACAGGGTACAGATATCTGTGAGATCCTGCCCTACAACTAGCAATCAGAGACAAGCTAATACATTCCCTCCCCTTACAGCTTTGTCCTGAGAATGCACAGTGGGGGGGAACAGAAGGCAGCGAAACTGGAATCTTGTCTCCCATTTACACCTCAGGACATGTTTGGGTGAGAGACAGAACACAAGGCATGATCCACATCAAAAGGATGCCCAGCCCCTAGCACAGCTATGACAAGTGTGGGTCAATAAATACCACCTCATTGGCCAATGCTGACTCTGGGTATAAAAGAGTCACCAGGGGAAGGTGGGAAAGAAAACGTACAATCAAATCCAGGATAATATTCTCCCATTTAGACCCATCAGACTCCACAGGCCTGGGTTGTCTTGATGTTGAACAGGACAGCATCGTTTGAGGAGAGGATGCAACGTGCTTTGACTAGAATCCTTCCCAAGACTCAACCATTCTTTTCTCTCATCCCTTTCTTTGTAGCAAGGGAGCCAACCAGAGCTAAGAATCCAACTAGTAAAGTAGTAACAGGTGAGTGCTCTGGTCAGGAGGGAGCTAAGAGCCATACATCGGCAATGCCCGTCCCTTCAGTAGACTCAGCTCTCCCATGGATCCTATCTAGCAGAATCTACAGCAGACAAATGGTAAACTGCATGCCAATCAAAGAAAATGAACATGAAAGTAGATAACCACTCAAAAATTGAAAGAGGAAGGAGACAGAGAAAAATTGCTAGAGGATATGTTTCAAAATGATCACTAGTCTAAAATGTCAAAAAAAAAAAGGCAGGACAGGATGGGATAAGTTGGAGGACAAGGCCCCATACTTTCACCTTTAAAACACAACAGACTAGAGGGACCCAATTCTCCATTCCTTGCCCATATACTAATACTAGGTAGGTGTCTACAGCAAAACTGTCTCGAACACATAAGGACCCATCATAGCTAATAAGCTTCAAATGACCTGTGCTTTCCTCCGGCAGCCTTCACACACAAAGAGACCACAGTGACACACATCACGCCGCCTCTGACCACGCAGAAGACCAGCGCCGCCACCTCCGCCACCAGCACCTCCAAGACCTCTGTCTCCAGAGAGGCCAGCCCCACCACCAGCACAGAAGTCCCTCTCACAACGACAGCTCCAAGCCCCAGCTCTCCGCCTGCCCCCAGCAGCCCGCTCAGCACCCGCCTGACATCTCCTGCCACTTCCACGCTCTCCTCCACAGCAGCCACAACCTCCAGCCCCAAGCCTACACCTACAACCCTAAGGACCAAGCCTTCTGCCACAAGAACCGCTGCTCCAAAAGAGTTGCCTGCCACAGAGTCTTCTGCACCCTCCACAGCCAAAACCAGCCCCCTGCCTTCGACTGCTTCTTCTCCCTCCTCAACTGTGTCCTCAACATGGATGAGCTCCTCACACCCTGGTACAGCTCCCTCCTGCCCTTCCTCCTGCTTCTGCCTGCTCTTCCCAGCTCCTACCATTCCTTCATTCCTTCGTGCCTGCCTTCCACCCTGCCTTCCTTCCTTCTGTCTTCGCTTCCTCTCTTCCTTCTCTCCTGCCCTTCCTTCCCAGAATGATATGGAAGACTTTTTTTATGGCACTTGGCCCTCTCTTCCAGCTGCCCATGGCCAGCCTGAGACCTGCTACAAGCCTGGGGTTCTACACTGCCTCTGGTTCGGACAGAGCTAATTTCTGTTCCTAGCAAGTCTCCTGGTGCTCTGTTTTAGATGTGTGCCCCAGCCAGTGTTCAGAGCACACAAGTGCTTTCGCTATGGCTGAGGAGCGCTAGCACAGCATCCAGGCCTTCCCTCTTTCTCCTTCTGCCTGCCAGCGAGTGGGAAAGTGGTGGCTCAGTGACACAGCCAGGAGAGGTGACTCAGAGGAAGCGACCAAGGACATGCTCTGTACTGCAGAACATCGTGCTGAGTAGCTAAATGAGGGGGTGGCCAGAGGGAGTTTTCCCAAGTAGCCATTGCTCACAGACTGCCTGAGCATTAGCCAGTGGTGTGAGGTGGAGACGAACACCATTTGTGTTTCATGGGTGGGTTTGGGGTTGGTTTCCCTACCATCCCTTCAATTCTGGAAGATGTCTCTCTCTAGACATGTTGGGTTTTCTCAGCTATTGCACATGTGGGTCTCTCCTCCTTCGTCCCGAAGAATGGCCCTAAATGTGGGCGCTGAGTGTCCTGCCAAGGTCACCACACTGCCCACTGACACATACAATGTCCCTGACTGTGTCTCGGCAGAATGGGGAGCCTTAGGGAAGCAGTCAGAAGCCAAATCCTCTCTCTCATTCAACAAGAATTAGTGTGATACACAGCTGCTTCGTTTGCTTCTTTTACCCCAGGCCCCAGCCCAGGGCTTCTGTCAACCTCCTTTGCCTTCCCCGCTTGGCCTGACACCCTCAGTCAACCTGTGCTTTCCTCCGGCAGCCTTCACACACAAAGAGACAACCGTGCCACACATCGCACCACCTCTGACCACGCAGAAGACCAGCGCCGCCACCTCCGCCACCAGCACCTCCAAGACCTCTGTCTCCAGAGAGGCCAGCCCCGCCACCAGCACAGAAGTCCCTCTCACAACGACGGCTCCAAGCCCCAGCTCTCCGCCTGCCCCCAGCAGCCCGCTCAGCACCCGCCTGACATCTCCCGCCACTTCCACGCTCTCCTCCACAGCGGCCACAACCTCCAGCCCCAAGCCTACACCTACAACCCTAAGGACCAAGCCTTCTGCCACGAGAACCGCTGCTCCAAAAGAGTTGCCTGCCACAGAGTCTTCCGCACCCTCCACAGCC